GCGGCCCGGTGACAGTCTGTGGCTTGAGCCGGACTGGGCCGCGAAGACAGACCTCCCGCTCCCCATGCACTTCCCCCCACATTTGTGCATGTGCGCACGTGCCGGCGTGAGCGCTCCCCCTTCATGCATGCGCCTGAGCGCCCGTGTGAACGGGTGAGGGTTGCATCCGTGGGGGCAGGAGCACCGGCGCATGTGTGAAGGGGTGAGGGAGCGATCGTGCATGCTAGCACATGTGTGCATGCTCCCCACCGCTTCGCGGATGCGCGCAAGAGCAAACCCATCCTTGTGCCCACGTGAGAGCGCTCCTTTGTGCATGTGCACGAAGGCAGGGGTGCTCTGCCTTCCTCAGCCAGTCTGTGGTCCCAAAAAGGTTGGGGACCGCTGCTCTAACCATTGGGCCGAAAGAGCTACAAAGAAGCAGCCTCTTTGCTGACCAACGGTTAGCAATTTAAATTCCCCACCTTTTTTCTGATCATATCTCAAAGCTCCAGTCGCAAAACCCTTTAGAGACTGGTCTGGATGCAACATAAGATCACAACAGCTGCAGAAGCCAGGGTCAGAATGATGATGGTGATGTCCAAACTCCACAAGAGGAGGAACAAGAAGCAGAAGAACGTGATTTTACTGAATTTTTCCCTGCTCTGACATCTCTCGGCACCAGTTTAGATTAGAAACAGTTTAACAAACAAACAAACAAGATTTCTCTACTTACCGGCAAAAGCACTGTGGGATCTCTCCTTGTCCGTACAAAGGAAACAAGAACGGAGTGTTGCCATAGCGGCCAAGGCACTGCAGGAATTTCTGGGTCGCCTTCAACCCATCTAAGGTGCAGCAGTCGGCCTCCGAGACCATCGCGATGGAATACAAGATGAAGTGTTGCAGGTTGGGAGTTAACTTCTGGGTTTTCAGATAGTCTGAAAATTTACTCTCCTTCTGAGCTGTTTTTTTTTTTTTTCAGGGACAAGAAGTCACGAGTTAGGGAATCTGGAGCTTCACTTAACAAAAATGACAAGCAACGAACCAATAAAGTCAGAAATCCAGAAACGTGAAACCTGAGGTGCCATAATCATGCGAGAGGTGTCTGTACCATATTGGGGGAAAGTGTTTTTATACAACCAAACAGAACTTGTAGCCAACTTCATTTTTGTTTTCTTGTCACTGGCAATGGGAAGTGCAGAAGCCCCCAGTGATTCTGGAATTAGGAAATCTGTGCCTGCACCCCTAAAGATTGCCTGCCCCTGTCCTAAGCTTCAGATCTAAGCTCTGGGAATGGATACACACAAACACACGTGGCATGTCTTCACTCTCTCATCTCAAGGAACAAAAATGCTACTGTGAGATTTTGGTGTGTCTTTGAATACAGAGAGAGAGAGAGAGAGAGAGAGAATTCCTGTGTGTATTATGAATAGCTTCACTATCACCCTGAAGGGCAACCACTTAAAGGCAGGATGGAGAAGCTGGGAAGTCCACAAGCCAGTTCCATGTCTCTCTCTCACCCACAAAAGGGTAACAACGCATGGCTGGAAGACCGCTTCCGGTTTTGAAAAAAATCTGCTCTCTTCTCTCAGAGTCCCTAAAGGCACCTGAGCTGTTTACAAATAGCAAAACAGCAATTAAACAAAAATGGTAAATAAAATAAATACTAAAAACAACAGAGCACAACCATCCATTTAAAAAACCCTCCCAGGCCACCAGTCACTAAGGGAAAGCCTGCCTGAAGAGAAAGCTCTCATCCTGCTTGCAGAAGGACAGCAAAGATGAGGCCAGCCTGGTCTCTAGTGGGAGGGAGTTCCAAAGTCTGGGGGCAGCCACAGAGAAGGCCCTCTCCCGTGTCCTCGTCAAGCACACTAGTGAGGCTGGTGGGGCGGAGAGAAAGGCCTCACTGAGGAGAATCAATGGTTTTGAAATCTTCCAAACATTTCTCCTTGTCTAAATGGGCGTGGGGGAAAAAAGGGAGATGTAGGATGAAAAAATGGATGGGCGTTGCATGTAGCCTGCACATTGTCTGCTCCTGCCCTCCAGTAAAGTGCTCAGGACATTCACACACACGGGACTCCCTTGTGCATTGCAGAGAGAACACAAACTTCTAAAAGAGGGTGCCATGTAGCATTCTAGAGATAGACATGTAGAAAATTAAATGAAAACGCCAGGAAAAGAAAAGGCATGTAATGAAGATGTCTGGGTCTTTAATAGGAAATCCAAACCTTGATATTCATCAGGGTGTTGTTCGAAGTCCAGGCAAAAAGTCAGGAATCTCATCAGCACTCTCTTCTCCACCATAGTCAACTGCTTGCTGTTGAAGACATCAGCTCTGGAACAGGGCACCTGTAACAAGAGTTTGCAAAGCCGCTGAACAGTTTGGGACTCCACTACTTGGTTAAAGCATCTTTCCCAATGAACCTCAGCCTCACAGGCCTTGCTCCTACAGATCACCATTCTGAGAAAGATAAAGGTCTCTATGAGAAACTGAGCCTTCTCGGTCGTAGCCCCAGGCCTGTGGAATGGGCTCCAGTTAAGAGGTTCAACCAGGCAGGCCCTCTTCCTCCCAATGTTCACAAATACAGTGGTGCCTCGCAAGACGAAATTAATCCATTCCGGTGTTAATATCATCTTGCAATATTTTCGTCTTGCGAGCTGAGGTTTCCCATAAGAATGCACTGAAATTTAATTAATGCATTCCTATGGGGATTTTTTTTATTAAAAAGTCACTTACCATTTAGGGAGCTGGGGAAGCACCATCAGAGGACTGGCAGGGAGGCCCATGCCTGGATCACCGCCTTAGGAGGTCCCCTGGGGCTTCCCTTGCACCATCGAAAGACTGGCGGGGGGTCCTCCGCGTGGGGAGGGGCGCCCAGCACCATTTTTGAAGATTGCGTCCCTTCCCCTTGCCTTCAGCAAGTCTCCGAATGGAAAAAGGCTTTCTTCTTTCTTCCTTTTTCTGTTTGGGGGCTTGCTGAAGGCAGGGGGAAGGGGCACAATCTTCAAAAATGGTGCTGGGCTCGCCTCTGCAAGCGCATTCATCATGCGAAAAACAGCCATAGGAACAATCGTCTTGCGAGGTACAAAAAAACTCGCCGGACCCATTTGTCTAGCAAGTTTTTCATCCAGCAAGGCAATCGTCTTGCAAGGCACCACTGTAGTATGTTAAAGGCCACTCTTTTTACAGAAGTGTTTAAAGACACCCTCCCCTGAGTTAGTTCTACCTACGAGTCACCCGTTTCTGTCATCATTTGGCATTTAGGTTGCATTAGGGTTTATTTCTGGATTAATGGATATTTGTTTGTTAATGTTGGTTTGTTGTAAGAGCAAGGCCTGTGAGGACTAAGTGAGGTAAGGGTTAAGGTTCTGTGGGAAAGATGCTTCGACAAGCAACAGATGGTGATCCTTGAAAAGCACAACCCACACTCTACACCTAGGTAAGAATATCCATGCTTCCTTGACGGAGAGGATTATTTCAGCTGACTTGAGGATGAATTAGACCTTAGACTTTTGGAGTCTACTGCATGGATTCTTCACTCTTCAAGGTATAAAAACAAAAACAACATGAGGCCATCAAGTTGATTCCAGCTTATGCTACCAAATCATATCTCCCAGACCTTCTATAGATAACCTTCTCTCTATGGATCTCCAGGTTGAAATCAATGCAATTAGAACTATTTTGATGTACCTTTCCCTTAATTTTCCCATTTCCCTTAATTTTCCCATTTCCAAGTCAATGCATGTACTACCTCAACCAACTACAGACCTAAAAAGAAGGCCTTTTGATTCAAGCAGGCCTTCAGCAGCTGTGATCTCTCTTGTTGTTTTAACCAAAGGCTGCTGTGTTTTCTTTTACTGACGTATTTCGAAAATGTGCTTTCGATTCTTATTCTTCTATTCAACCTTCTTTTAACTGTATCTGTTCTGTTTACTTTTAAGACCTACCTTAAGTCACATTCCTGGGGGAAAGATTGAATACAGTAACTACATGAACATAAGAATGAATGCTTTTCATATCTCGAGTAATAATTTCAGATTCCCTCATTAAACTAATAGTACTTTCCTCCCTATCATAAGATCTGGAATAGCAACACTTTTAAACCCCATTTCACATTTTGCACTTTCCCTGCCTCCCACGTGGTTTTTTTTCAGTTCTTAACTCAAATCTAAGTATGTAAGTCAAGTCAATATTTTCCTATGAGAGCGGTTCTTAAGTCAAAATGTTCTTAACTCAAGCCGTTCTTAAGTCAAGACCCCACTGTACCTCAACCAACTACAGACATAAAAAGAAGGCCTTCTGATTCAAGCAGGCCTTCAGCAGCTGTGTTCTCTCTTGTTGTTTTAACCAAAGGCTGCTGTGTTTTCTTTTACTGACATATTTCAAAAATGTGCTTTCGATTCTTATTCTTCTATTCAACCTTCTTTTAACTGTATTTGTTCTGTTTACTTTTAAGACCTACCTTAAGTCACATTCCTGGGGGAAAGATTGAATATAGTAACTACATGAACATAAGAATGAATGCTTTTCATATCTTGGGTAATAATTTCAGATTCCCTCATTAAACTAATAGTACTTTCCTCCCTATCATAAGATCTGGAATAGCAACACTTTTAAACCCCATTTCTAATGACTAATAGATCAGTTAAGTAGTAGCACATCAAGTCTAAGAGAAAAGGTAAGCAGAGAAGGGGTGACCATGTACGGAAAGTGGGCCTGACTAACACTATCTTACCCAAATAGCTCTCAAAACCCAAAGGCAGCTCTGATTTATCTGGGAGCAAAAATCATGGTTTGGCTATTGTGTCCAAATCTGCTTGCGGTACAAATAACACTACCAGTTCAAAAGAGTTCTCATGCTGTCTTTAAACCCAACTATAAAGGAAGACAGAAAACATTGCAGCTTTGATTTGGGTAGTTCTAGTACCTGCTCCACTCTTCCTTCCCGAAATGCAAGGATCCGAGTGACGTTTTTGAATTCAGCGTATCGACTAACATTTGACTTAATCAGGAGGTCAATCAACAATCCTCGGGAGTATAATAACTGCAGAAGAGAAAGTTTTTAAAAATTACAAATATATCCACAGAGATATACATATATGCACAAAGATATACACTCATGCCTATATATGCATATCCACACATTTCTGGAGAACACTTGATTTTTATCAATGCCTTTTCTTCCTTGACAGCACTGTTGACAACACGACAGCAAGACTGAAAATATTTTGCAAATGAAAGGTATCACCCTAAATCAGTGGCTCCCAACCTTGGGGTCCCAGATGTTCTTAGACTAAAACTCCCAGAAGCCTTCAGCATTAGCTATGCTGGCTAGGATTTCTGGGAGTTGTAGTACAAGAACATCTGCGGTCCAAAGACTTGTCTAAATTATAACAGCAGCAATATCAGATTCTATGTCTTCCTACTGTGGCCCTGGCTGCAAGATGGACGGTAAATAAATAAAGGGAAAATAAGGCATGTAATTCATAGGTGCCCTTTTGCTATTTCTGAGCAAAGATCAAAGCAAGATGTGAATGCTGGAAGGAGAGTTTGCCAGTCAAAACTCAGCCCAGGGTGTGTGTGTCGGGGGAACACAATAATAGTTTGTAAAGGGGGGGAAGCACATCTTTCTAGGCAAATGGCAGAAGAAGCTCTAAACACAGTCAGTTTCTGAATTCCAGTCCTGCAGGATGATAACCAAGATCCACCAATGTGTTTGAGCATCCCTCCGTCTAACAGTGTATTAGCATCAGTCATTTCCAGAAGTCCAGTGTTATGGAACCATAGAATCATGGAGTTGGAAAGGACTTCTAAGGCGCATCAAATCCAACCCCCTGCTCAGTACAGGAATCCAAATCAAAGCAGATCTGACAGTGGGCTGGCCAATTTACTCCTGAATGCCTCCAGCACTGGAGTGCTCATCACCTCCCCAGATAATTGGTTCCATTGTCGTACTGCTCTAACAGTTAAGAAGTTTTTCCTGATATTCAATCGAAACCTGGATTCCCATGACTTGAGCCCATTATTATGTGTCCTGCGCTCTGAGATGGGATATCAACATTGGAGATGTTGAAAAGCCCCTATGGATGAACACAACACCACATGCATGAGGTTGAGTTTCTTGTCCGATGAACCTGAAGGAGACAAAGAGGGGCTATAAGAAAGGAACCTGGAGGTGAGGACCATGGAATTCCTAAAGGAGAGGTGTGAAATATTTCACACTGCAAGATGCTTTCTACTACAACTACCATAATGCCTCATCATGCTGCCTGAGGATGATGGAAGTGGCAATATAAATTATTAAAAGACCCACAGGTACCCTACCTCCCCCGCCCCAAAAGAGAACGAGCAGGATGACTATCATTTCAAAAGGTGTTAACATAAATTTTGTTAGGTGACCAGAAGTCCAAACTGAGGAAGATGTACCGGTATGTGCTGGAAACTTTCTGGAACCAAATTTGGAAGTAAATTTAGAGAAATTCTTACAGGAGGCATACAAAACAACCCAAAGCCATCAAGAACGGACTAGATATTTCCAACTTCCCCAGGAGAACACAGTGCTGTGTTTTTGAAATGTTTCAAACGTGCACATACTATTTCCGAATATTCTTGATACAACTGTTTTTCTTTCCAAAAGTTCTGTATTTTTGAGACTTCACACTTAACTACTGCCTTATTTCTTCAATATCCTAGGAAGTGGTATGCTCACAATGGTTACAAGTTGGAACCATAAAACTTAATCTTCTAACATCTTTGCTCACTTTGTATAAGCTGCAAATTTATTACACATTCTTGGAAGGACATGAGCGTAAAAAACACTAGCACAAGATGGATGGCTGAACTTAAAAAAATGTTCCACTGGAGAAAGTTACTTAGGCAGCGCCATCATTCTCAAAGTCTTTGCAGTCACAAGAAGGTAACTTTGGAAGGCACAGCAAACAAGATAGGAATTTGTCTCTCAAAGCGGATCTGTGCCCTGTTATGACCTCAAAGGGAACTTCACAGGGCAGGAATGAGCAAGCTGACCAAGAAAGTCAGAACCTTGGACAGCACCACGTGAGAAGCTTGTTATGATAAGATTCTGAAGACCCTTACATTTTAGGACATGTCGCTGTTGCCTTCAGGCTCTGCCCTAGAGATATGCCCTTTAAGGGATGGGGGTTTACTCCAAACGCAAGAATTTCCCAAAGCAGTACTTGGGAGTTCCAGCCCACAAGCACACACCTGAAGACACCTTAATTTCACTCACATGGAAAAAGCCTAAGGTCCTCTTCTAGCCTTATTCTATGATGCAATGCTTCTGGGCTGTACGTGTTGTTCTTTAGGGGTGTTCTCATACAGCAAAGACAGTACCAGCCCTAAGAAGCATTGCAGCAGCTTCCTCTCAAGAAACACTGTGGCAGGAAATAAGGCCTAGAAGGTAGCCTCAGCCTTTTTCCAGGTGAGTGAAATGAAGTTGTCCACAGGTATGTCTTTGTGGGCTGGAGCTCCCAAAATTCTGCCTGGAGGATTCATGGAGAATTCTGGGATTTAGAGTCCCACCAAAAAACAAACGTCATATCCTTATTCTGTCCCTTCTCTAATGAAAGAAGGTTTTAAATGGGGGAAAGAGAATTTTTCAAAGGCCAAATTGATCAGCAAAAGCATCATTCGAAAAGTTTCAAGAATCATCTTGCTGAAGATACAGTCTAGTTTTAATGTGGTAAAAACAGCTCTCTCTCTCTCTCTCTCTCTCTCTCTCTCTCTCGAGAGAGAGAGAGAGAGAGAGAGAGAGAGAGAGACTTTGAGGAGGGAAGAGGCTAAAATATCCCTTAAAAGCACACACCAAAATGTATTTTGAGCTGATGTTTTATCTTTATTTCACATTTTAAAAAAAGTCTGTGCCTCTCAAGAACCCCGAAAATGTTCTTCTGTAATGAAAACTATGCGTTTCACAGAAAAGTATGGTGGATGTCAACCTCAACATCATTATCCTGCTAAAGATTTCAAATGTCTTTTTTTTAAATGGATAAGAGGTTTATTTATTTATTTATTTATTTTGTATACCGCCCATCTGACTGCAAGGCCACTGTGGGAGGTTCACAAAAAACAAACAAACAAAAAAGAACAATAATCAACAGCAATAAATTAAAATAACAGAATATCAAAATGATGTTAAACAAACCCCATCTACAAGAGAAATAGCTGTCAATGAATCCCCTACCTTAGAAATTAAATCAATATTAAACCTCCTCCCTTCTTTAACAATTTGGGAATAAGTAATTTGCTTCGGTTCCACTGCAGCTTCTGTTCCTAATGTGTTATTTTCAACGTCCAGTCCTAACTGCTCGGCTGCTACGCAGTCAGACGGTTCCTCCGTCTCAGGGGTCACGCTGTCACCCTCCTGGTCAGCTGTACCTTCTGGACCACTTCCAGCAACATTTTCAGGGCACTTTTTCTCATCTTTGGACCCCGAGGACAGATCCTCTGACGGAAGACACTCCTCAGTCTCCGGGGTAGTGGTGACCTCCTCGGCTACAACGTCACCAGAGACAGAGGGATCTAAGGAAGAGAGTTTGGCCAGTGAACCAGCTTCTTCCACATCTTCACTGGAATTCTGGCTGATTTTCAAAAGAGAGAGAGAGAGAGAGAAGCTCAGTTTTCAGAGTTCCTTTCTGGATATAAAAAGCTACATCATCAACTTATTGTCAACGTTCTGCTGGCTTAGTCTTCTCAATATACATACTGCACGTATCTATACGAACTGGCTATGGCCACCTAAACCTAATCACAAGCCTCTTATAAGCTGAATTACTGTAATGAGCCAAAAGGTTCATAGAGGTCTGGAGGGAACATGATAGCAATAGAATGTTGACAAATAGCTTAACTTCGGTGAGGGATATGAAACAACACTTTAAGAATATCATTCCACAGGAAATACAGTCAGGAGTTTATGAAAAAAATTCATGAGTTGGAATACAATTAAATAAGCTTCCCCCCCCCCTCCTTAATAATAGGAAATAAACCATATAATCATCATCTGTACTGGCCGCATCCATGTCTTAACGAAGGCATACTTTAAATTTTACTGTTGTGCCCATTAATCCTCTGACTCACTATCATGATAAAGGTAAGCAGGTCAAAAGAACAAGGTCAGCACATGTAATAAGTCCTGGGCATCATCCTCTTTTTTTCCTCTTAATCACAAAATCCTTAACATTCCCTTTCTAAAGCAGCACTCCACACTTCAACTCCTCTTCCTTTTTAATCTTCAACTTCAAGGAAACCTACCTCTGCAACTAAATACTTTGAACTTGGGTTTTCAGTTTATGCTACCAACAGAGATGAATCAAATCAGTGTCATTATTAGTGGGGGAGGGGAGGGGAGAGCTCAGCAACAGTTCTGCACTACCTTTTTTTTATCTCTTAACTGCTTAGCCATTAATCCACCAAGAAAACGTTTAAAGTTTCGCTGACAACTAATGAACTGTGATTTCAAAGGTGGTCTGAAATAATAACACCGTAAAAGTTCAGTGGCCGTCATTATAAAAAGTAGAATTTCGCTAGTTGGCCACGATAATAACTGCTTCATTTTGTAGGTCCTCTCCGGTCCATCTCTGATGTAATCAGCAACCAGAATACATTGACAAGAAAGATCCTTGACTGGGCTTGACTCATTCAGGTTGTCATATTACGGAGCCCTTGTCAACATCATGGTGACTGGCTGGATAGCTCAGTGGTTTAGATATCTGGCTGCAGAGCCAGAAGTTGGGGGTTCGATTCCTCACTCTGCCTCCAGGGAGAAGAGCCAGCCTGTGTAGCCTTGGGCCAGCTGCACAGTCTCAAGGTTGCCCCCAGAGGAAGAGAATGGTAAAACGCTTCTGAGTGTTCTATATTTAGAAAACCCAGAAACGGGTTGTCATAAGTCAGAATTGACTTGACAGTAGATTATTGTTATTATTATTGTCAACAACATGTATTTCAGTTAAAGCTACTGTTTTGGAAATTCAGAATAAATCTAATTTTGAGTCCCAAATACACACATTGAGACAACAGAGATTACATGAGGCATGTGATGTTAGCTGGGCTTACGTAGAGCAAAGCAAAGCATGCTGCATGCATACTGTCCCATACTGCTCAAAGCACTCTCTGGGCAGTTTATAATATAATTATGCCCCCACCCACCCAAGTGAGCTGGATACTCAGTTCACTGACCTCGGAAGGCTTGGAAGGCAGAGTGAACTTTGAGTCAGCTACCTGGGATTGAACCTGGGTTCTGAGCAGCATTTTGGCTGCAGTACTACAGTTGAACCACTGCATCACAAGGCTCATAAGACTTACATTCCTAGAGATTTAGTCACCTAGCAGTGTCTAACAGTGTGCCTGCTGCATTAGCAAGTCAACATGTTTTGAACAAATGAGTATATAAGGATGGGGTGTGAACTGCACTGGGGCAGCAATATGTGGGCATGTGTGTTGTTGGTGGTGGTGGACTAAGAATCACTGTCCAACCATATAAAGCAGGAAGAAGTCACCTCTGAACCTTCTTTTATTTAACCCTCGCAGTACCAGTTCCATTCTTTGCAAAGCAAAAGGATGTATGAGCTAAATGGAAAATCAATTCTGTATCTGCACACTGACATTACCCAGTTATAATTTAAATTGTATACAAACGTTACCTTTCACATGACACCAGCGCTTGTAACCCACATGTACTTCCCTTGAGTGAGTCTATGGTGGTGTACCTCCCATACACACCTTGCAGTCCTTGATGTTAAGAACTGTAACAACGAAGGAGGCAAAAAAAAAAAACACCCAAAAATACTAGGAAGTGAGCTTTCTCATCATGGCCCCTTCCTTCTGGAAGAAGCTTCCTACAAAGGTTCGCCACACACCATCCCTTTCTGTTTTTGGGAAGCTAAATGAAGACCAAATTATATAAAACTGCCTTCCTACTGGAAAGGGACGTGGTGGCGCTGCGGGCTAAAGCGCAGAAGCCTGTGCTGCAGGGTCAGAAGACCAGCAGTCGTAAGATCGAATCCACATGATGGAGGGAGCGCCCGTCGCTTGTCCCAGCTCCCGCCAACCTAGCGGTTCGAAAGCATGCAAATGCGAGTAGATAAATAGGGACCACCTCGGTGGGAAGGTAACAGCGTTCCGTGTCTAAGTCGCACTGGCCATGTGACCACAGAAAGATTGTCTTCGGACAAAACGCTGGCTCTATGGCTTGGAAACGGGGATGAGCACCGCCCCCTAGAGTCAAACACGACTGGACAAAAATTGTCAAGGGGAACCTTTACCTTTACTTTACTTTGCCTTTCTACTGGTATGAATATATTGTCCTGAGATATTCAAATAGGTTTTGTGTATTTCAATTTAAACGCACTTTCAGCTGGTGACAGGGTTTAGTAGTGTGTTTTTTGTATTTATTATATAGTGTCTTAGTGTATAATTTTACTGTATATTCTTATCTGCACAGAGAGGGGCAACATGAATGGGATGGTATAGAAATGAAAATAAATAAAACATAGACAAAACAAAATACGTGGATAGAAATTACGTCGTTTTATACTTATACGTCCTTTGAAGTAGCTTGAGCCCAAAGTCAACTTGGTGGGCAAAGAGGGAGCTAAACATTGCGGTCTATGTGCGATACTTCAGTCCCTGCCAAGGGAAGCTTTAGCCCTTGGGATGGTATTGAACTCCAATTTCCATCGGCACTAACTAGCCTGGCCAATAGCGAGGTGTGATGGGAATCGCTGGTCATCAACACCATGAAGGCTGCAAGTACTTTATACTCAGTTTCAATCTAAACCATTATGTTTCACTGGACCTTTACTCAAATGCATGGCTCAAGCATGCTTGCACAGAAGTAACTTGGACTAAACTGAATTGGACTGATTTCCAAGTTTCTAGTGTCTAGAATTACTGACAGCCACAGCAACACAAGAGACTAATGTTTACAGCTAATACAGTGGTGCCCCGCATAGCGAGGTTAATCCATTCCGGATTAACCTTCGCTATGTGAAAACTTCGCTAAACGGAACGGGGAAGCCCATTGGAACACATTAAACAATGTTTAATGCGTTCCAAATGGGCACAAAACTCACCGTTTAGTGAAGTTTCCAGGGTCCGGCAGCCATTTTCGCATCCTCGGTAAGTGAGGGGAGTGCGCCCATTTTGGGCGTCCGGCGGCCATTTTGAAACCGCCGAACAGCTGATCTGCAGGTGTCGCAAAGCGAAGATCGGTAAGCGAAACGCTTACCGATCTTCACTATGCGAGTTTTGCCCATTGGGGCCGACGCTATGCCTCTGCATTAGCAATCCCGAAAACGGGATTGCTATGCGGATTCGTCGTTATACGGTGCGCTCATTAAGCAAGGCACCACTGTATTTAACATCAAAATTTAAAAACTGCAAAAAAAACCACAACGTCTCCTTCTGGATTTTGTCTGTTATTTTGGAGACTCCCCCCCACCTTTATCCAGGGGACGGGGGTTCGCATCGCAGGACTTGCTGTCTAGTCGGACTTCAGTCACACCAGTGATTCAACTTAGTGGGGTTTTTTTTCCAATGACTAAGACTCAACTTGCAACTTGGAACTCACCCACCCCTCCCTTTTTTTCTGGGGGGAAAAGTTTGCTTTTAATAGGGACTCAGAACTTGGTATCAAAGACTCAAGTCTCGAACTTGGGCCCAAAGATTTGCCAACATCCCTGCTTTTAGCAACCGCCAGAATATTTCCTGTATAAAACATAATTTCTAAGCAGAATGGCTGTGGCTATAAAAACGGGAGGGAGAAAATACAATAATAATTCAAGTTTAGATCTTTGTGGAGACAGGTTTCCCCCCCCAGCCCCCCACCTCACCTCTTTCGGCACTACTAATTCACAAAAAAAGGATACGCCTGCAGCAGAAAACGGTGGTGTAAATTCTGAACATTGCCTAGCGTCATTCATTAATTAATCGTACTAACAAAAGAATCTCTCAAAGCCAATGTGTCTTATTAATGCCTCGTAACAGCCACCCTTTCCGATGGGTCAAAAGAAAAATTGCCAACCAGCTGGTTAATTTATGCAACACAGGTGTTCACTATTTATTTTTCAACCATTTGCCTTTTCTTCAATCCCGCTTGTGGCAGAGATGGTATTCTCCCGCTTTGATGGATGCACTTTGTTCTGTGGCCATTCATTTCAGCTTTGCACACTACCCTGCCACGGCTACCCAGCTGTTTTTATTCTTTCAAAATAAATGTTTCATGGCAACTTCATAGAAGTTCGGGGAAGTTAAGCGACAGTGGCAAAAACAAACTCAAGCAAGTAAGCCATCAAAAGAGCTGCGATCGGCTTTCTCTTGAACACAACGTTGCTTGCAGGAAGTAGTCTTTTAAACTGATCTTTTCAGATAACACTCAAAACAGAATTCAAATCATGCTCATTCACGAAAAAGAGCAGGTTCAGATGTAAACAGCCCAACCATGGTTTGAAAGGTAGAGTACAGCTGAAAAATGTGGGGAACACGGCAGTCAAAATGATAAAAGGCTGGAAGAACTACCTTAACAAGAAAAGGTTAGGGGCTCTCTGATTTTTTTTTTAATTTGGTCCAGTTTGTTTTTAGTGGGAAGGAAGGAGGGAGATGACAGCTTTATAAAGCTACTGGGAAAAGAGGACGCTTTTCTTTGCTAGGTGTAGTGATGGCTGTCAATTTGGATAACTTCAAGAAGTGTTTGATGTTTTCGCAACAACAGCTGGAGAATCCTGCAAGCTAGAGCGCAAAAGCTCGGCTACCTCTTCTCTGTCTCTCTCTCTCTTACACACACATATACACACACAAAGTTTAATGTAAAATGCTATGCACTCACCTAACATAACAGAAATCTTCCACATGATGAATGGTTTGGTCCTGCTTGTTCAAAGGAATGCTTTCTTCATTTTCTAGGATCAGCTCCTTCCAGACTGGGCTTTCCTCACATGGGCCAGGCGTTTCCTTCCAAGAATATGCACAAACAAAACCTCTTTTGTTATTTTTATTTTTTCCCACCAAACAAACAGCACCTTTACATTTTGGTTTCATAATTCCTTAGACTGCAGTTCTCATTGTGGCCAAGGGAGTGGAGTTGTGGGGTAACCAGGCATGCTCTCTTCCAAGATATTTTATCCCGCCCGCCCCCAACAGTACGTCACCAGTCCAACGAGGACTGAATCCTGTCTTGATACTTTCAATGCTTCATCTATGTACATGTCCAATGGTTACTCCGTTTTCTTAAACGGAGAGGAGGTTTAGGAGAGGAGTGCTCCATAAAACTGAACATGAAAGGATGCAAGTTCATACTGTACTAAAAATGTACGGAACACTTTTAACAAAAGTATTAGTTGTTTGAGGTAAAACTATTGCTGCTTACTTGATTCTCCTTTATCCAGGATAATAATCCCGAGAAGCTAAAACTTGCCCAGTTTCCTCCATAATAATTTCTCCTGTTTCCAAAAAAAAGGAGAGGAAGAAAAAAAAACAGCTTAAGATACTTTCATTATTGCATACTTTCCATTGCTATTATCTTAATTAAGTCAGAGACTTTGTCCCAGCCAAAGGGATTCCACAGGCACACAACGAGTAAGAGAATGAAAAAACAAAAAACAGACAAAGCCATCCCCAAATTTGGAGTTCCTATGTTGTTCTTCACATAGTAACACTAATGTTTTGAATGCAAATTGATTTTGGTAAGACTCCAAACATTTAGAATATACGCCTGCTAATTTTTCCCCCTATCTTAAAATAGCATCCCCAAAGGAAATGCATTGCAGAACACAAAAATAAGATTAAGAGCAGACCAACATTTTTGGCACTTGACCATTTGCAAGTACTTATGCATTGTGTGAAGGAACACCATGAGGGCAAATGGATATGGGAGAAGAGGCACTCGGTATCATATATGAGTATCGGGTGCCTTTGCTGGGAGAAAGGTGGTGCTGGATGAGAAAGTTTAATGATTGTTGAGATGCATCTAGAGATGGGCATGAACTGCCAGTCGGTGCTGGTTTGGCTGTCGGACCAAAAGATTTTCCCTGTTTCCAAGCCCCCACCTCCTCTTGTGCAGTGGTCCCCAACCTTGGGCCTCCAGATGTTCTTGGACTTCAGAAACCCTGGCCAGCAGAGGCAGTGGTGAAGGCTTCTGGGAGTTGTAGTTCAAGAACATCTGGAGGCCCAAGGTTGGGGATCACTGCGTCTAGTGGATGCCCACTTGGAAGTAGCGCCCTGGCTTCCCTGCCCCACCTCCTCCGGGTGCTGCCTCCGAATGGACATCCACTGGAGGAGGTGGGGTTTGGAACCGCGTCAGAATCACAGAACACCCACTGGGCCAACAGCCAAATCAGTGGTTTGTGCCCATCTCTAGATGCAGCTAACACATATCGGGGGACAGGCAAATCATACGTTGTTGGACTATAACCCATGCTGGTTGAGGGTGATGGGAGCTGTAATCCAACAACATCTGGAGGGCCACACTTTGTCCACCTCTTATCTACTCCTTTTCCTAGCCGTTGGAATGACAATAACTCCAATGCTACCAAAGACCAAATAGTGGCTCTTTCTTGCTATCTCCATACGCAACAATCACGCCCTCCTGTCATCAGCATGTCCCTACACTTGGGCACGTGGTGGTGCTGCGGGCTAATCCGCAGAAGCCTGTGCTGCAGGATCAGAAGACCAAGCAGTCGTAAGATCGAATCCACGCGACGGAGGGAGCGCCCATCACTTGTCCCAGCTCCCGCCAACCTAGCGGTTCGAAAGCATGCAAAATGCGAGTAGATAAATAGGGACCGCCTCGGTGGGAAGGTAACAGTGTTCCGTGTCTAAGGCGCACTGGCCATGTGACCACGGAAGATTGTCTTCAGACAAAACGCTGGCTCTATGGCTTGGAAATGGGGATGAGTACCGCCCCCTAGAGTCAAACACGACTGGACAAAAATTGTCAAGGGGAACCTTTACCTTTTACACTTGGGCAAGCTAAAAGCCGCAGACCAACAGGAGGGAAGGGGCATGCCAAGAACAACTGGGTTGTGCACAGCTTGCAAATTTCTGGTATCGCCCTTGAGGTAGCTCCCAAGAGGCTGGCCATGGGGAGATGGTTCTTTCACCAAAGGCTATACGCTACTCCTTACTGAAAGGCAGGAGTTGATTCTGCACCGAAAACACTGAGTTCCGGCATAGGTGTGATGTTGTAATTACTATGGCCACTACTGCAAAGACACCAGAACACCAGATATGGGGAGAGGTGAGAAGTGGAGGATGATGGGTTGGAGGAGGAATAATGAAGCACAGTGGTTAAGTGTTATCACAAAGAGGGGGTGGAATTTCTACATAGGACTGCTGACATAATCCCATGGGGGGTCCCCTCCATCCTAGGCTGATGGTGAGCAGAGTGTGGAAATTTAATCTGCAGAATAACAACACAACAGGGACTGGGGAAAAGGGGAGGAAAAACTTGGAAAGCTGAAAACCAGTGTTGCACTGAAGAAGCAGGGAGGGCAAGGGCTTGTAAACCCCTACATCAGCTGTACACATTGGTGCGCGCAGACACAGACACACACACACACACACACACACACACACAAAAGTCTAATTTCTCCCACTGGCACAAGCACAGCAGCAAATCTGAAGGAATACAACCTACGTCTTGTGTGAAAGTCAATTAGGAAAGCTGCCTCTCTGGAAGATGCAACAGCTCTGGAAAAATGAATCAAAGCTACTGATGCCTGGGAAGAAGTTGCTGATGCTTCATGATTTCTCCAGAGAGCTGTCCGCAAGTGTCTTCCTTCCGTTTGATCTCCCGACGGGGCTGAGGAGGGTCTCCTGGCACAAGAATGAGCTGTCTCTCACTCCTGCCACTTTGATTTTGAGAGCAGGAAGGTAACGGGACTTCTCTGCCCTGCCCTGAATGTTTCAACAAAATACCTACTTGAAACACTGAAAAGATCATTTCTGTTTGGCTTCAGGTCCATCCCAAAGGTGTGGGATGCAATCAACTGTTTTGTATCTCCCAGGCTGTCCGGTATCCGGTTTCTCACGGTGGCCCATCTAATGCTTCTGAGAAATAGGACTAAGGAAACTTTACTGCTCTTATCGCTTAAACCATTTTTTTCTTGTTAGCTTTTTTTTTTTACTATCCAGCATTCACATTCACATGGAGTGATCGGAAATACAAGAATGCGGATGATCTTGGTCCCCAGCGACACATCCTTACCTGCTCTAGTTGTGATTGGATTGGAAGTCACTGGAATGAATGTACAACATTTAATCATGGCTAGTGTTAACCCTGACCAATAAGCAATATGCATGTTTAAATTGTTAAGCCTTTTTTTATGATCTATCAATATTTTAGAGTTGCAATAAAACCTAATTATTTTTCTTTATTTATTTTATTTATTTTATTTGTATAGATGATCTATCAATATTTTAGAAATGACCCTGTAACAGAGTTGCAATAAAACCTAATGTGTAATTAGTTAATTTAAATTGATTTTAAAAGGCCATTCAGAGTTCTAATGGGAAAACACAAAACATAGCACATAATTACATAATGTGTAATTAGTTAATTTAAATTGATTTTAAAAGGCCATTCAGAGTTCTTCAGGCAGAATATTTAAAAAGCATTTTAAAAGATTTATGGCAAGAACATCTGAATGAGAAAGTTAAAAAGGGAGATTGAAATAAATGTGGAATAAAAGTATAATGAAAAACATGTTTGTAAGGGTGAAGGGCAATTGTAACAAGGTAGTCTGGAGATGATCTATAACACTGGTAGAGTTAAACATAATAAAGATACACCTTCACTATGCTGTATATGTAAAAAAAAGGAACATATATACATATGTGGTGCCTTTGAGAAATAAAGAAGGAATGGACAATGATTTTCAAGAAGATAAGAGAAATAATTGGTGTGGAAGTAATGTCCCCAATGATTATTTTGTTGAATTTGGTTAATAATAATCAATTGAAGAGAGAAGAAAAGGAATTAATTATTATAATGGTGATGGTGGCAAAATTAATACAGCGGTGCCTCACAAGACAATTGCCTCGCGGGATGATTAATCCGCAACAGGATTGGTTTTTGCGATCACTGTTGCGCTTCGCAAGATGATGTTTTCTATGGACAATTTTCGCAAGACGACAATTTTTCCCCATTGGAACGCATTAAATAGATTTCAATGCATTCCAATGGGGAACAGCATTCTGCAAGACGATGTTTTCTATCGACGATTTTCGCAAAATGACTATTTTTCCATTTGAACGCATTAAATACATTTCAAAGCATTCCAATGGGGAACCGTGTTTCGCAAGATGATGTTTTTGCAAGACAGCGTTTTTCGTGGAACAAATTAATATCGTCTTGTGAGGCACCACTGTATTTTCAAAAAACTGGAAAAGTAATAATCAAATTACTATGGAGAAGTGGTACAGAAAAATGTGGAATATGGCAATTAATGATAAATTATGGTTGTTTTAGGTTTTTCCAGCTGTTTGGCCATGTTCTGGAGGTTTTTCTTCCTAATGTTTTGCCAGTCTCTGTGGCCGGCATCTGTCTGAGTTCTAACTCCTGTCCTCTGGCCACAGAGACTGGCGAAACGTTAGGAAGAAAAACCTCCAAAAAACCTAGAACTACCATCAGTTCCCGGCCATGAAAGCCTTCAAGAATACAATGATAAATTAACTTGTGAAATTTAGAAGAGGAAGAATGAAATGTAATGATTTTAAACAAATATGAAATTTGTTTTCGGTACACGTGTTTCAGAAAGGGAAGGAGTAAACACCGGGAGAAGAATCAATGTATTGCTGGAGAGAAATGGGGCAATTTGAAATATGGGATTGAAGAACACAGAACAAGTCTTAAGTGGTGGGTGGGTTGCACAGAATGGAGAAAAGGAGCTGGTTATGTCACAAGTGATATGTGATAAAGGTAAAGGTTCCCCTTGACAGTTTGTCCAGTCATGTCCGACTCTAGGTGGCAGTGCTCATCTCCGTTTCCAACCCATAGAGCTAGCATTTGTCCAAAGACAATCCTCTGTGGTCACGTGGCCAGCGTGACTAGACACGGAACGCCGTTTACTTTCCCACTGAGGTGGTACCTATTTATCTACTCGCATTTTTGCACTGCGCATGCTTTCAAACCGCTATGCACTGGGACAAGCAATGGGGGCTCACTCCGTCGTGTGGATTCGATCTTACGACTGCAGGTCTTCTGACCTTGCAGCACAGAGGCTTCTGCGGTTTAACCCGCAGCAGCACCACGTCCCTGGATATGTTGTAGTGATTTGTAAAATGGTAGTTTTTGCATATGTCTTTCTTTTCTGTTTAATTAAAAAAAAGTTTTTCAAGTTGATCAAGCAACTTGCAAATTTTTTTAATCGCAAAATAAGAAAATGGAGGGTAGGCAAGAAGGGAGGTCACTGGGAAGAAAATCTTCATGAATAAACAGATCTCTTTCATAACTATATTCAATACTCAACTTCTGCAACTTCAAGTTTAAAGTCAATGCCAAGCCACACGTTCTGAATTGCAAATTACTTTTCTAAATCACTTAGCATCCATCCTTGAAATTTCACATGTCAACAGCTCATTAATATCTACTGTAAATGTAGCTCTCTGAAAAAGAACCACAGATTTTTCTTTTAACATTTTATTGAGACAGATAGCTAGCACCCAGAAAGAGAGACCCCCACTTCAATTACAATTTGGCAGAAGCTAACTTTGGTTTTAAAACATGACTATAGGAATTTATGGCCAGGCTGCAATGGAAGTGACTATTTTGAATAAGATTAGCTGCTCTTGATGGCAGATGCTTGGACAGTGTTTATAAATCAACAGAGGTGCTACTCAGTGGTTTATAATGGTCCACTTCAAACCATCTACCATCATCACATAAGCAGTATATTATGATAAACGCAAAACAGTGGCGGGAGATTAAAAGTAATAAGATCCACCCAGGGTAATGAATCCAGGCGGCACTGGCACACACAAAGTACTTCAAAAGTTTCATTTGGCTCCCAATTTCTCTGCCTGCCTTCCCCCAATGCCTTCTATCTAACTCCTATCAAAAAGCAAAAGATTTAAAGTTTACCCAGCACCACAAAGGAACAGATTTACAAGTGTGTCCAATGTTCAAGTTTCTCCATCTCCTACGCTGTTCAAAAAAGAATTCTGTGCAGGATTTATGGATATAGATTTTAAGGAACAAATCCAAGTAGTCGTTTTCACTCTTTATTTGCCCAAATTTTGATTTTATTTATTGGTACAGCTGGCCAGTTCTTAGTCTGCCAATGCCCCTTGACGCAAAAATAGCAGCACAGTAAGTTGAATGAAGAGAGAGAGAGATGTTACTTTATGGGGCAAAACCCGGCCTGTAATATTTTTCATTTCAGCAGGCTGAATTTTATATTTTAAAAATGCAAAATTTAATCTATAACATATATGAACTTACTCAGATTGTTAAGGCAATGCTTTTCTGACACCTTCTCTACCTGATGTTCTCATGGGTTTTTGGAGATCAGCAAGTTATATTTTTTACATAATGACCAGTGCACTAATTTTGCCACTCCATCATGTCTAATTTTGTAATCTGTTTATGTAGTCTTTGGACATTCGCAGATGATGTGCGACAGTTTCATCATTATTATCATCATCATCATCATCATCATCATCATCATCAAACTAAAAGACTTACGAATCCACATGCAGAACCCGCTGACCACTTCTTGAGCACGCAGCTGCAATAATAGACTCAGGCAAACCTACCAGAAAAAAAAGTTCAATTAAAAAGGTGATTTAAAAACTATGCGTAATAAGGAACACTTAATAAAAAATGGAAACAAGATGGTTTTATACTTCACTGATACCAACTGGTAAGCCATGCAATCTACTAATATTTCATCCAATTAAATAAACGAACAAAAATTGTTGACAGATGAGAAATGCTAAGAATTGCCTACAAAATTTGAATCTATGTCCATCTACTACCATTGGGCACACTTCCTTCTTTTTAACAGTGGCATGCAAGAGGACCCTGCTAAGAGTCCACAGTCTGGAGCTAGCCAAAGCCAACAATTAAGCCAGAGAATGTGGTTGCCCCAAGTTCCTTCTCTTCATGTCCCATGATGTCTAATATCCGGCAGTGACATTCAGAGCATCAACAGTCAAGCAAGCTGCCCGCTGCATCGTTTTGCTCTGTCTAGTACAGCGACTGGCCACTGCTCCCCCAGGCTTGAAGGTGAAATTCCTGAAATCCTTGTATCTGTTCAGAATTACACTGTGATAATTATACAATTTTAGAACTGCGGAGCTGGATGAGACCCACGGATCATCAAGTCCAACCTGTTAAGACGGCCCAGTGCGGGATTGAACTCCCAACCTCTCGCTCTGCAGCCAGAGACCTAAACCACTGAGCTATCCAACAGTTCTCATTCTGAAGAGGCTTGACTCTGCTCACCTTCTGAATTAAGATAAAATTGGGAGTGTTCTTGGTGGTACAGTAGCACAGCATAATGATTTGCACCATTCAGGCCTGAGAGATTCATTTCTAACTTCAAGTGCCCAGAGCAGGCCAAACACAACCCATTCCAGGGAGAGTGTCCAACACGGAATTTGATGGCTGTGGTACACCTGTTAAACTATAACACCACTATCCTAAAGTGGGCTCTAGAAGGACAGAACAAAACCTTCCATGGAGCAAAAGGGCAAAAACACACTTGGCTAATCTTCCAAGACAAATACAGACCCTTAAAAGCAAGGACTCACGACGCTTCTGGGCTTTGAGGATTTTAAACAGGAACTGTTAGACAAGTTACCACAGGATTAAGTGGTAAATGAGCGACCAAGCGTTCATACTGGCATGACGTATTGATCTTTCGGTATTAGCTCATTCTATTATTGTGAGTCAGAATTCATCAAGGAATGGATTGTTCCAAGACTAAACTGGCAATATCTGCCGGGTCTGGGCCATTGTGAGCCAGGTTAGTTTTATGGTACAGATTATAATATTGTTGCAATGATAATCCTGCTTAACATGAGAGGAACTGCAGGTTTGGATAGATGCCACTGCAAAGGAGGGGGAATCTCTGTCATGCCTCCAGCAGTCTGCCGGGTTGATCCTCTCCTTTTTAAAAAGCTACCATGCCAAGAGGAGAGAGGTTCTTGGTTACACATTCCCCCTCTTCTCTTCCATTCCTCTTATCCTTTGAGGTCCTCTCTACATGGTTGCAAGCCACAATTTTAAAGCATTAATTGCTTTCAGTACATCTGCAGACAGGCAATATATAAACACATGCACACCTAAATGAATGCAAAGTTTTATAATCAATTCATATTCACTCCATATGTCAGCAAAAAATCTTTAAATTAAATCTTAAAACTGAGTGGTCTCCTAGCCCCTGGCTCCAGAGGAGCCTTCCATACTGCACTGAAAGCAAACTGCAGCAAATTCTATGCCAATATGGAACTGGCTGGTTTCGGGTTTACTTGATAGAGAAAGTAAAACCAACACTATCACATCAGGTCATAAAAAGGACCAAGCTCGCTGACAAGTTTGCTGCAAGATCAGCAAAAGGGCTCCATAACAAGATCAGGAATTGGTATGAACCCAGAAAACATTCTAGTTATTTCATATCTTTAGGTGCCCTCAAGGTAGAGAAATTCAGCCATCCAGTTTCTTTTTTGTCAGTTTTAAGGCCTACCTCTTTGACAGATAGTGGGAGATTTAATCTCAAATTGGAAATTTGAGGGGAAGGGAAATATGAGCTTCCAACGCCAGTCTCCAGCATCAATGGTCACTTCATTGCTGTGGAATATCATGAAACACCCAAGTTTCAGAGACTGGAGTGAACACTGTGGTAGGAATAGATGAAAGTTTATTTTGCCTAGTAGACAATTTGGAAGGTGTTGAGAGTGTCAAACCACAGGTCAAGATTTCTATCATCAGTGCTTCAAACTTCCATGAAGTATCCCCAGATCTGTACGCCAATTAGCATATTGATTCCACGCAAGGCTCAGTGCCTCTCGGACCTTTCTAGCCATTCACAACAACACAGAATACCGCACTGCAATATATCGCATCTATAGCTTGTGCTTCTTTGGTGTCACAAGCCTTTCAAATGCCCTTAAATGTATAAGCAATGCAGACCAGGAATTCAACAGCTCTGTTATGATGAAGCAATAACAACCTTACTTACTTTTAATCCAGAGACCCCGAAGAGCTATTTTACAGGCTAAATGTGCAAAGGCTTGTTATTCTTACATTTGAAAGCAGTATTATTAACATGCAAATTGATATTAGCTTGGAAATGAACACTGTATACAATGGATAAGCAGGCTAAGCAAACCCTTTTCAAACCTGAGATGGGAGCAACATTTTAAATACCCAGCATAAAACAAGATGCATCTTAAGCGATGATTGTGCATTGGTTTAAAAGCAAGGATGGAGAACTTTTGACACTCCTCTGAGATGAGAGCAACGTTTTAAATACCCAGCATGGAACAAGATGTATCTTAAGCGATGGTTGTGCATTGGTTTAAAGCAAGGATGGAGAACTTTTGACACTCCAGATATTTTTAACTACAGGTCCCAGAATCCTCGACCTGCATTGTCAATGATATGGGACTGTGGGTTCAAAACTTTACAGAACGGCCTCGAGCCCACACCTGAATTGTAATTCCTGGAGAGATCACACACCCACCAGTTACACTCATGAGCTTTCGCTTCCCATCGTCTGCACCAAGGGCAAACTGGCCAAGAGGCACCAGACAACTGGGTTGCTGAAGGACCCCCCCCCCATTAAGAAGACCATAGGACTACCATTTTAATACTGTACTTCCTACACTTGCACAAAAAGGGCCCACAGCTAAAATCCCTTCGGACTTGAATGGAACAAGCAGCAAGCATGGAGCTATCCAGGGTCCTGCAATGTCTGCCCTCTTGCCTTCCTTTCCCTGGATTAGGGCAAGACCATCAACTTTTATGCTTCAACAGCAATTCTCAGGTCATTTTTTTCAATCTAGGAACCATTACTATACAAATTGGGAGAGACCACCGCTCAGTAGTAGAGCAGATAAGCTTTGCACGCAGAAAGGGGGGGCAGTTCAAAGCATGAGGAGAAGGTTGGAAAAAACTCTAGCCTGAAATCCTGGAAGAGCTACTGCTGCCGGGTCCCCATGGACAAGTGGCCGACCTTGACCGAGGGTCTGACTGGCTGTGAGGCAGCTTCTGAAATGCAAACTGCCCGGAAAGACATGCTCTGTCATTCCACCATACATCAGTGCTATCCCAAGGCAAACACTATGAAAACAAGGAAGTTTGCTGAACATGAGCATCAAATGAGGCGATGGTGGGAAATGCTTGTTGAACTTCATGAACATTTATTTTACACAGACCAAAAATATTAGGGGGCACCATGATAGGAGATTATTTCCACTAACTTCAAAGGAGAGGCAGCTATTCACTTATTACTTTTAACACAATCAATCAACTGAGAATCTCCCTATTATCCCATAATGAACTGGCACAAAAATGTAGCAAAGCCCGTATAATGATCAAGTACCGGCTATCAAACTGTTTGGGTTTTTGTTTGATCTCTGCCCCCTTTGCAAAATGTTTAAATATGTACTCGCATGGAAAAAGGAGCCCGGTTATTTAAAAAAAAAAATCCGAGCTCTCAAACTATCAGAACAAGAAACGCATTACAAGGTTCAGAGGAAAAAATACACTCCAAATCATTTAGGAGCAATCAAAATATTTAAGGAACCTGTTTTCTTCTCTGGAAGGAGGAGTTAAAAACATCATTCCTAATGTTTCAGTTTATAACTTGTCTCTCTAATATTCAGTTAGCTTGCCACAATAGATTTTTAAAACTGTATTAGTATTTGGAATTGATTTTTCTTAACACTATACTTACCTAAGATAAACATAAAATAAAGTACTACCACCACCACCCCCGGCATATCGAACAATAAATAATAGATTCCCCAGACAGGATTTTGAAGACTGGGCAAAGCCCAAATGCTCTCAGCCAAAATCATATGGAGCCATAAATCACTCTTTATTTTATAGAATATTTCAAAATGGATTCCTGCTTTCTACCTTGAAAGTCATTTCATGTGTTATTTATAACTAGTGAAAACCAGAAAGAGAAAGGAGGGGAAAATTGCATAGAACCAGAAAATTTACAGTGACTGCTTTTTGCTTTTTGCATGTTTATATGAGGAACAACTTATTTTTTTGGGGGGGGGGGGAGAGAATGGAAAGAAAAAAAGGAAATATGGGATATTTGTATTGTATTTAACAGTAATAAAGAAAATAACTTCTGCAATATTACCAGCAAATTTAAATGCAGGAAAACAACAACAATCCAGGAACTAAACATGGAAATGCAGAAGGAAGGCATAATATTGCATTATCCCATATTTCTATAATGATGGGGCTCAGGTTGTTTCACAAAATGGTGATACACCAACAGAGCAGAGAAGTAATATTAATTTTAATGCATTAATGTCATTTTCATTACTTTTTGACCCAATGACCCAAAATGCCATGATATATGTAATATTCTGACAACATTTAAAGGAACGGTTGACAAAATGTTAAGCTGTTAAACATCATTATGTCATGTTTTGTCCATGGTGAAGGTATGTGTGGTTCTACATTCACTTAAACACCTAAAATCTGCTTTACAAAGATCAATTCCTACATTAATAATATAGGAGTTTTTGGACTACAGCTTCCAGAATCCATAATAGATACAGGCAGTGGTTAAGTCTTGCATGTCACAAAAGACAGACAATAACTTGTTAACCAACTTTGTATGAACTTCTACAAAGAAGCCAGTGAAGAAAATAGATTGGGTGGACACTGAGAAAAATCTGCCCAGCTATTTCAGATCCCAATGACTAATTTACTCACAAGCACAGGGCAACTGCCATCTGCAGTTCTAGGATGATAACAATGATGAAAACTACTGCTTCCAGCCTCAGATAAATAATTTAGTTTAAGAAATGCTGCAGACATTTGAAAAATGCTTCTATCATTTGAAGCAATTTGAAGCAAAGCCTCACTCTGATTCAAAGCGAGAAAGCATGCGGAGGTGATCCATACGGACCCTCCCTTAAGTGGAGCTATTAAAATTCAAAGCTATTCTGCCAAGAAAGTTGGCGATGCATGGGGTTTCTTTCTCTAGAGGGCAATAGACAAGATTATATCTTTTACGACAAATAATATTTTCCATCATTGACAAGATATGTTAGAGCCTATTAACAATTATCCCCAGCTAATAGTTCTATTGGGAGATTTGTAGTCTGTTTATTTAAAATTGCTTAATCAAGGAAGACAATTTTAAAACAGCAAAAGAAGGGGCACTTCTGAAGGACCCACTGGCAAATGTACCATTAAGGGTCAGTAGTGCAAGAACTTGTAAACTGCACTGTTTATTTCAGAATTAATTATTTAATACCACCAGCTGAACAATATAATGTTTTCATTTTTAACATTAACAGCAATGAATTAATTTCCTAGTTTTTAACAATAACAAACTAAATTTCATATATCACATTCCAAGTGATGAATATAAGAGATAAAAGGTGGGAAACCGCTCAACAAGTATATAATATAGGATGTTGTAGTAAACTCTAACCCTCCGGATATTTCGGAATTACAGCTCTTATAAACCTCCAATACTAACTATGTTGGCTACTGCTGCTGGAAACAGTAAATCAAAATAATCTGGAGGATAACAGTGGATCAATCCTGGCCTAGGACATCCAACAGTAACATTATGAAACAACATAAACACTTACATGAAAATACAACTAGAGCCAATCAACCTTGTGAAAACACACAAAACTATTATTCATATTTTAACTGTCTCGGCAGTACCAATGAGGAATGCATCTTAATTTATTACACTGATATCTTGTTTTTCTTCTTCAGAACAGGAAGCACTATATATAGGATTCACAGAATCCTATCCAGACCCAGCTCTGCTCAGCTTCTCCGTGGTTGCTTCCCATGGCTTCTTCAAATCATCTCTTCCCATGGTTTCCACTAGGAATTTCTCTGACAATTTTCATTTCATGCTGCTTCCTATTTGCTCTTCTAACCTTCTTTCAAAGAGGAAGAGATAGGCAGCAATATATTGGTACTAGGAATATTCTTTATGCAATATTTGTCTCCTTCCTAGATTGGGACAATAAGTAGGAGACCAAGCTCACTGTATATTTCAAAATTATTGCCTCTCTATCTGAACCTTCCTTTGAGGAGGTCAAGATGGTTCTCTTTCTCTAGTGGTCACTCAATGAACTTCATCAGCCCAAAGGGAATATGAACTCAAATTTTCCTGGTGGTAGGCCAAGATGATAATCACTTGTTAACACCAGAACATGTGTGGACTGAAATCTAGGTAAACCGACTTCACAAGTATTACCAACCAGCAAACATTAGAGTAGTTCGCTATTCCATATGGTATCCTTACCTCATCCTTCTAACTGCATATACCAAAGGCAGAATCGTTATGCACATAAACTACACGTTCAGCTATTGCAGTACAGTACAGCTGCTCCTTTCTGCACCACCTCTTCCCTTCCACTCAGGACATTTTTTACAAGCCAATCCTCTGAAAGGATGATTTTAACTTGCACTACGCGATCAAATAATTTGCTAGATTCTTTCAAACAATCAACTCCCACCTGATGTTCACCAAAAAAAATCCCTGTTGGCAAAGGCCCTTGTACACTTGTCTTCCCCAAAGCTGAGAGCACACTGTGAAAAGGTAGAAAAGTCTCATGGTGTCCAGAAGATTTCACAGCCATAATGAGACTAGGAGAATATTTTGCAATGGGGTTTTCAATGGCTGTGAGCACTAAGGGGAGATCTATAGAAGACTTCTGCCCACATTGTCCAGCAGGAGAAAGGACGGGCATAAAGCATGGAGATTCAAAAAGAGCAGCAGCACCTTGGTAAATCTTACTTTCTCCTTATGGCTTTTAACCTCCATTTAAGTTAGGCTTGCTAGATTTGTTGCTGTCATAGCCCCCAAGTAACTACATAACTACTAACCTGTTTCCCCAAAAATAAGACCTAATCTGAAAATAAGCCCTAGTATGATTTTTCAGGATGCTAGCAATATAAGACCTACACCCCAAAATAAGCCCCAGTTTAGTGAAAGCCCGTCCTCCACCTTTGTGCAGCAACCAGACGAAGATACGATTGTCTTTGAATCAATGTAGATTGTTGTACATGAAAAAATAAAATATCCGCTGAAAATCAGCCCTAATGCGTTTTTTCAAAGCAAAAATTAATGTAAGACCCTGTTTTATTTTCGGGGAAACACGATTGAAATTCAGCTACTGAAGATTTTCCTATTATTTCTTTTGAAGGGCAGAAATGGCCTTACTCCCAGAATTTCATAAGGTTCTGAGACTTGCCAGCGTAAGTCTTCTCCTCTAAAGCTTTCCTGTCTACAGAATTTATGGAAGGGGAAATAATTCATTTAGAATTCCAGTTTCTCTGCAAAAAAAAAACAGGAAAAGGAGGAAATGAGAAAACTCTGTTACAAAATTGCTCTCCGAAAATGAATGGACAGTAATTTGCTTTCTAACAAATCAGTCCTTCAATTCTTCCTGCCCAGAACTTGGAAAAATTAGGTTTTTGAACTGTATCTTCCAGAATCTCTTAGCCAGGTTGGCCGGGGCACTCATAATAAAAAATGTAACCTTCAATCTTCTTCTTCTAGTATAGCCTGTGTCAGCTTTTGCCAACTGGTCACTGGTCAGGTGTGTTGGCCTACAATTCCCATCAATCCTGTGTAATGATGATTATTATAGTTCAACACATCTTAGCAGCATGTAGTTGGCAAGGGATACCTAATAGCTTTCACTATAGGCTCTCCAGATTCACCTACAGTGGACCCTCGACTTACTCCTGCCCAGAACTTGGAAAAATTAGGTTTTTGAACTGTATCTTCCAGAATCTCTTAGCCAATGACCAGGTTGGCCGGGGCACTCATAATTAAAAAATGTAACTTCTTCAATCTCTAATTTCTTCTAGTATAGTCTGTGTCAGCTTTTGCCAACTGGTCACTGGTCAGGTGTGTTGGCCTACAATTCCCATCAATCCTGTGTAATGATGATGATTATAGTTCAACACATCTTAGCAGCATCTAGTTGGCAAGAGATACCTAATAGCTTTCACTATAGGCTCTCCAGAGTCACCTATTTAGCCACTATGTGAAACAGGCTGCTAAATTAGCACTGCACAGATCCCATGCAGAGCAAGAATAACAGCCTAACAAATAATTTGAAATGCGGGAAACCCCCAGTTAAATGCTAAAATAAAATAAAGGCAATATTTGATATGAATGCAGCACTATTTAAGAGAAAGTGTACCTACTGAACAGGGGGAAAATACGGATTAAACTGGTGATGTAAACAAGGCAATTCTTATAGAGGGCACCTCCAGCCCCCAAATTCCAGAAGTATCTGTGCTAGTTTGTTGAAGCAGCAAAAGGAAAAACCTTGTGACACCGATTTTAGCTTTAAAATACTTCACAAATTTCTTAGATCTTATTGCAAGGATGAGGAGGAGCCCGAGGCCCTCCTGATCTTGCTCCAGGGCAATCTCTC